CCACATGCCAGCCAGCCCGCCCCCTGGTGGGCTGAGCTGGCCACACACACACACACACACACACACATAAATAAATAAATAAAATTTAAAAAAAAAATTGCAGATCTTCCTGCCTCAGCCTCCCGAGTGCCTGCAATACAGGCGTTCGCCGCCACGCCTGGCTTCCTTCTTGCGTGCACCACCATCTGTCTGGCTTTATGTCTCCCCTTTCTCTTCTCCCACATCTGTCATCAAAACTGTAGTAAAGCTGCGCTCTGTAAGGTGTGCTGCGATCCGATCCCCACTACTCAAGTGGCCAAGGCATCAGAATCAAAGGTTCAAGGCCAGCCTGAACAATTTATGGAGACTGTCTTAAATAATAAAAAAGAGACTGAGGGTGTAGCTCGCTTAGTGGCATGCCCACAGTTCAGTCCCAAGGACCATAAAAAGGAAAAACATCGTATGTTGGGGGCGCAGCTGTATGGTAGGCAGCTTGCCTGCCTGAGGGGGGTCCGGGTTCAGGCTGCTTCTCTTCACTGCCTCTGGAGGGGACATTCTAAAGGCCACAGGTGACCAAGAGACGTGAAGAAAGTTGGCTGGACAAGCACTATAATCTCAGCACTGGAGGCTGAGGCAGGAGGATCACTAGGAGTCCAAGCTGCATAGCGAGACCCTGTACTAAAAAAAAAAAAAAAAAAAAACATACATACATATATACATACATACATACTATCTCAAAAAAAGATGAAGAAAGCCAGTGTGAGAGGGGACAGGGAGGAAGGGGACTGTGGTGAGCCAGAGAAGTTATCCAGAAGCCTCCCACTGCTTCACAGTCCAGACACCTGGGGTACAGGTCCAAATGTGGGCAAGAAGCCAGAGGTCATGTGTGGTTTTATGAGTGGTGAGTTTTTGTTTGGTGCTTTTTTTTTTTTTTTAAAAAAATTTTTATTTTTTAAAAATTTATTTGCTATACTATGCAGCTCGGATTCATAGTGACCCTCCAGTCTCAGCCTCCCCAGTGCTGGGGTTCCAGGCATGCACCACCATGCCCAGCTTCCAAGCTATCTCCTCAGCCTCCCCCGACCACCTTTTTTTTTTGTAGGCTTACCATACAGTTCAAGCTGACCTCAAACTCACAGTCACTCTCCTGCCTCAGCCTCTACAGGTGTGAACCTTCACTCCAGCACCAATGTTGGTCTTGAATTTGCAGTTTTATAGCCTCAACCTCTTATGCAACTGGGATTGTGAGTATGACTCACCATCCCCAGCTTGATTCCCCCCAGATGGGAAGTGACCTGGAGACTGCACACTGAGTCGTAAACCCCTCCCTCACCCCACCCTTATAGGGGGTCTTGGTCACTAAACTGACTGAGATGGGCTCAAACTTGTTTCTACCTCAGAATGTAATTCCAGAGTGCTAAGATTGTAGCTGCCTGTCACCACATCCAGCTATTGATATATTTTCAATGTGAAATGGTCAAATTTTAATATTGGCTGCTACTTTTTTGTTTTTTGTTCTTTGGGGTTACTGGGAATTGAACTCAAGACCTTGTACCTGCTAGGCAGGCTCTGTGTTACTGAGCTAAATCCTCGCCCTTTGGCTACTTTTTAAAAAATGTCCTAACCAGGCCAGCCAGATAGCTCAACGGATTAAAGTGCTTGCTTAGGCGGATGCAGGAACCAGGGTTCTATCCCTGGCCTGCCATGCTGGCCCCGCCCCCAGAGCGCACTGAGACTGGGTGTGGCGGTGAGCGCCTGTAATCTCAGAATTTGGGAGGCTGAAACAGGAGGATCACTACAAGTCTGATCTGTGTAGTGAGACCTGTAGACCCTGTACTAAAAACACATACACACAAATGAAAGAAATTTTAAAAATTAAAATTAAAATGTTCTAACCAGGCTGGAGATGTAACTCACTGTAACTAATACACGTGAAAACACTAGGTTTGATTTCCAGCATGGAAAGAAAAAGAAAGAGATAAAGAGACAGGGGTGGGGGATGGCAAGGAAAGGAAAGGAAAAGAAAAAAGACCAAATAGACTACAGCTAGGGAACATGACATGTGGATGACCACTTTTAACATGCAGGATCGAGGGCCGGCCAGATAGCTCAGCAAACTGAAGTGCCTGCTTAGGCAGGCTCAGGGACCGGGGTTCATGCTAAGACAGTAATTGAGACTGGGCGTGGTGGTGCGTGCCTGTAATCCCAGTGCTTGGGAGGCTGAAAACAGGAGGATCACTACAAGTCTGATCTGTGTAGTTAGACCCTGTAGACCCTGTACTGAATACATCAAAGAAAAAACACGCAGGATCCCCATTTGACCGCAGGCCTGAGCGCCAATCTAGCCACATGACTGCTGCCTCCTCTTTGGTCTCCTGTTTTAGCCTCAAGTACATCCTGCGCCTGCATAGTCACAGTGCAAGTCCAGGGTGCACGTCATGCCAGCTTACTCCAGGGTCACCCACAAAGTGAAGCCCAGACGGTTCACACCAGTTGTGACACGCATCACTCTTACTGACTCCAGCCAGCCTCTGAGGTGTGGTCCTACAGTGGACACCCCGCAGTTCCTGTCACCTCCCCCATGCTCTGCACACACCTGCTGTAATGTCTACTCAGAGGTCTGTGTCCCAGCCAGACCCAGTGCTCCCTGGCACAGGTGACCACGTCCTACTCATCTGTGACTCGGTGAGGCACGTACCACCTAGAAGGGTGCTGGAGAAACGTCATGAAACAAACTTTTTTTTTTTTTTAATTTTATTTATTTGTGTGTGTGTGTGTGTGTGTGACCAGCTCAGTCCACTAGGGGGCGGGGCTGGCTGGCATGTGGTGCTGGGGGATTGAACCCCCGTCCCTGTGCTTTGCTAAGCTTGTTCTAAGTAGGTGCTTTAGACCACTGAGCCATCTCACCAGCCCCTGAAACAAACAAAAACAAGCAGCAGACATGTCTGTAATCCTCACTACTTGGGAGGTCGAGGCAGAAGAACCGCTGCCAGTTTGAGGCCAGCCTGGGCTACACAGTGAATTCAAGGCCGGCCTGAACTACATAGTGAGACCCTGTCTCAAAAATAATAAATTAAAATTAAGTTGTCAGGGGCCGGGAGATGGCTCAGTGGAATAAGCGCTTCGCTGGCAAGCCCAAGGGCCTGAGTTCAATCCTCGGTTCTGAAAAAAAAAAAAAAAAAATTAAGTTGTCAGTGTAGTGGCATGTGAATCCCTTGGGATCAACCCTCAAAACAACCCCCCCCCCACACACACACAAGTGTGCTAGGGATGTAGCTCTGTGGCAGTGTCCGTAGGTTCAATCCTCAGTATGGGCGTGGGAAACAGTGAATGGCAACTGGTAGCCCAGTAAAGTAAAACCATCTTAAGGACATTTATTTCCCACTCTGTTATTTGTGATTAAGACCTGAGTGGGACGGGGAGATGGCTCAATAGAATAAGCGCTTCTCTGGCAAGTGCAAGATCTTGAGTTCAATCCCTGGTACCGCAAATAAATAAATAAAAATTAAAAAAAAAAAAAGACCTGAGCACCCTTCTGATTTTCTTCTTTTCCTTCATGGGGGCTGACAGGTCGCCCAAGTGCTCAGGACATCCAGGTAAGCCAGTCTCTGTCCCAGCCAGGTGCTGCTGTAGGCAGGTCTCTGGGCTTCCTGGGACTTCTTAATCCTCTTGAATTTTGATTTTTGTGCAAGTTTCCTTAAAGAACCTGAAGAGAGGCCAGAGAAGGTCCTGATGGCATCACAAACAGTAAAAGAATCTCAAAAGCACAAGGAAAACATGATATTGGGTGTGATGGTGCATGCCTGTAATCCTAGCACTTGGGAGGCTGAGGCAGGAGAATTGCCATGAGTTCAAGGCCAGCCTGGGCGGCATAGTGAGTTCAAGGCAGGCCTGAACTGCATAGCAAGACCCTATCTCAAAAAATAAATAGACAGGCATAGGAAGATATAGTGGGAGCAAAGAAAAAATAGGGGTGATACCATCCTCCTCCTTCCTAGGGGGTAAGAGGATGGTATCACCCCTAATTTACAGATTGAGACTACTGAGCAAGCACAGACCAAGGAAATAAGGTACCCAATGCCTCACATTCAGTTAAGGCATAGTCTGAACTAGACCCGAGTTTTCTTGTAGTGTGGCTCTGTATCACAGTTCCTCCCCGTCCTATCTTGGGATGTGTGAGCCGATTCCCAATACTTTGCTACTGGACTGTTCAAAAACACTACTGCCAAGTTTCAACCTAGAGTTGATGTACGGCCAGGTGTGGTGGCACATGCTTGAGATCTCAGCCCTCAGAGGCTGACGCAGCAGCAGGATCACGAGGTTGAGGCCAGCCCGGGCTGCAGGAGACCTTATCTCAAATAAAACCAAAAACCAAAACAAAACAAAAAAGGATTTAGGAACTGCAGTCCTTATCCAAAGAAACAATTTGCAAGCTACTTTTAATTGCAGGGTGATTTGGTGAATAATCTTAACCCGCTCATTGTGGCTTTCCAGGAATTAGCAGCTTTCTCACCTGACAATAGGAACAAGACAACCTTCATCTCTAACTCAGCCCTGTTTAATTCCCCAAGACTTTCAAACTAAAAGCCTGTATTTAAGTAGAGAAAAAAAGCGAAAAAGGAGTCAAAAGGAAGTAACCAGAAAAAATCAGGAGGTGGAAGAGCCTGTAAGACAAGGGGGATGATTGTGTTAGGTGCGAAGATTGCAAGGACATAACCAAGTGGAATGTATGGTTTGAGAACAGTTATCTCTGAAATTTGAATATGGACTACTTAATCCAACTATTAAGTGCACTGAAGATGTTGACCTGGAAAAATGTCTACCACTAAGCGCCAGCCTGATAGCTCAGTGGACTAAAGCATCTGCTTAGGCAGAACACAGCAGCTGGGGTTCCAACCCCTGCGTGCCATCCTGGATCCTCCCCCTGGGGCAACTGAGACTGGGCATGGTGGTGGGTGTCTGTAATCCCAGCACTTGGGAGGCTGAAAACAGGAGGATCACTTCCAGTCTGATCTATGTA